CTATGTACTACTGTAAACATTGTTAGATCATCAATGGTTTACTTCTGTGCTATATTAATAATATCATTTTTTAGTTTGAGCATTGTGTTGGGTCACTTTTCTTTGGAATGGGCATAAATATGGATCTTATCCAGTCAGTTGGCCAAGTAGCTGTCTTCCAAATTTCCTGGCATAAACGAGTGAGTGCTTCCAGTGCTTTTTCAGCTTTCTGAAACATTTCAGTCGGTATTCCATCAATCTCTGGAGCTTTGTTTTTGTCTGCTGTATTCAGTGTGGTTTGAGCTTTTATCCCCATTGATTCTTGCTCGTGTGCTACCTCCTGAAACGGTAGAATGTCGCTGAATTCTTTTTAATACAGTGACTCTGTTATTCTTTCCATCTTCTCTTGATGTTTTCTTCATCATTCAATATTTTGCCTACAGAAATTTTCAAGGTTCTTTGATACACATAATATAACAGTGATATTCTTCTGGTGGGAGAACATATTCAGTAGGATTTCTCTATTGGTTGACAACAGGCCTGTGTTTATTTCTGTGTCGGTTGTTTGGAAGTTGAAATTGATTTTTTTCCTCAAAAGAGCTCAATGTTTGTATCTTAAGATATTATTTTAATTATCATTTAAGTTTGAATAAGAAAATAACTTAGCATGCACTGACATTCAAAGGTCCAAAGGCCATGTCTCCTTTGATTCCTTGTTTTTCAGCTGTTCACTTTCTATTGCAGTTTTATTAATTTCTTTATATCTTGTGTTTTTGTTTTCTGATATCACCTTCAAGAGATTATAATGCACATTTTCATAATATAGATATATCTTGTTTTATTGGACTTCATAGCTACTGCATTTTTTAAAACAAATTGAAGGCTGGTGACAGCTGTGCTTTAGATGTTTGTCAGTGCCATTTCCCAACAGCACATGTCATCTTTGTATCTCCGAGTCACCTTTTGGTGATTCAAGTCTTTCATAATATTTAAAAATGTTTCATAATTCTATTATACTTTAATAGACTACCATATGGTGTAGACGTAGCTTTTGTAAGCACTGGGAAACAAAAAAATTCATGTTACCTGCTTTGTTGTGATAATTGCTTTATTCTGGTGGTTTGGAACAGAACCTGGAATATCTCTGAGGTTTGGCTTTCTACAGAGGTGTGATATATAGTCTTTCTTCCCCAACTCTTGTTTTAAAGAAATGATAGCATTCCTGGACTCTTTTACTGTTTTTACGCACGCGTGTACACACACACACACACACACACACACACACGCTTGTTTGTTTTTCTCTCCACAAAATAACTTAGATCTTTGATTTCATTAAGTGAAAAGATTTCATATTATTTTTTCAGCTGTGTGATAATATGATTGGATGAATGTACCACAATTTATTTATTTAGTTATTTTCTCCCCATCTTTGTTATTACAGACAAATGCTAAGGCAAAATTCACTTATGCTCAAATGTGGGTGAAATAATTTCTAGAAGTGGAATATTTGTATCAACCAATATGTGAATTTGTCATTTTGATCGGTTTTGCTTGCTTTTCCACCATAGAAATTATATAATTTTATTTGTGCCACAAATGCATATAGTGACTGCCTATTTTTCCATACCATTCTGACTCCATAAGTTACTAATTCATATTTTAAGTAATAGAGTTCTTAGATTACTCTTTTAAAGATAATATTTACATATGTATAGATATTACTCTTTAGAAGTGCCCCGCTCTCCATTGCACCAAATAAAAAAGAGTTGAAAGGTTTATTTTTGGTGTGTGCATGTATACATGTATATAAAAGAAAGAGCGTACAGGTTGCTTCTCTGAGAAAGATATTAAATGCTTAATATGGATGTTCCTTTTGATGTGTTTATGGAGTTGTGAAAAGTAGGGAAAGGGACAAGGCTGCAAAATTACTGGAGCAGGAAGACAGGTGGTGGCGAATAATAGTAATTGAGTCAAGAAGCTGTTTATATTGCCAAGCAAAGTAGTTGCTATTGGAATGATCTTGTAGCGTTTTGTAGAAATCAGCTTGTTGAGGGGAAAAATGAGGACCTAATGCCAGGGGCTTAAGTGGAGAGGAAATGTTTTGAGAATGATGAGGGCAATGAATGTACAAATGCGCTTTACATAATTGATGTGTGTATGGATTGTGATAAGAGTTGTGTGAGCCCCTAATAAAATGATTTAAAAAAAATCAGCTTGTAAGCATTTATTTTTCAATATATCCTAGATTATTACTGTTTAATTGTATGTAAATTATAATCATACCACAGCTAATAGGTTGAATTTCAGAGCAGAATTTTCAGAAGAAAATTTTGTTCAGTATAATTTCCTTATAGCCAAAATATGTGACCCAGTCCATATTCTATAGAATTAAAAAACAAAACTGTGTAAATTTTGGATTATTTTAATTAAAATTTTCCTTTTTACCCTAATTTGCAGACATTTCAATCTTCGAATGAAGAGGGATACTTCCCTTTTCAGTGATGAATTTAAAGTAGAAACATCAAATGATGTGCTTGATTATGATACCTCTCATATTTATACTGGACATATTTTTGGTAAGTTGAATTTTACATATTTCTTTATTTTTTGTACGTAAGAAACATTATTTTTTTTGAAGTACAAACAAATATTAGAGAAAGATCAAATAAACCTCAAGATCTAATGTGTTGTGAAGGGTAAAATGAAGTAACACTTGCATTTACTTTTATATGTATGCTGGCTTCTGAAAGGTACGAGTTTTTTACTTTCTCGACTACCTCCAAACTGGTTGATTTAAAAAAGTAACAATTTTTATAATGCTCTGATTTTCCTTGTCTCTACACACACACACACAAAAATTAGTGGTAGCTTTGTTGGATTTTATAAGAAAAACCGTAACTCAACTTCCTGCCATCAAGCCTATTCTGTAAAAGAAAACTGTAAAAAATATGTAATAGTCAAAAATAATGTGGCAACGTCATTTATAGGAAAATCCCCCAAGGGGTTTTCAAGAATTGTGCTTGTTTTCACATTTCTTGTAAAAATTTTTAGCTCTGTGAGATTAAAAAGGTGGTGGTGGAAGCCCAGGGAAGCAAAGAGGAAGTTTACGTTCGATAGGTTTGTCAGGGTTGGAGGGAGCAGAACAGTGGCCCCTCTGCCCTTGAGTCTGTTCCTATCGTGGCCACCCTGTGGGACAGGAAAGGCCTGCTCCTCTGAAGTGTGAGACTCACTATTTACGGAGGAGAAGCCCTCCTTTGTCTTTCTCCGGCAGAGCGGCAGATGGTTTTGAATGACTAACCTTACAGTAGAAGCTCTGATGTATAACCCACCCAGGCACCGGGACTCTAGAACAGTTATAGAAGTTATAAAAATGCTGGGAAATCGGTTCCGGTCTCGCCGCCAGGGAGTACGCTGCTCTGCCACGTGAATTCACTACTCTGCCGCTGCTGCCATGGCTCTGGTCCCAAGAAGCACCTGAAGCACAGAGCTGCTCCAAAGCATTGGATGCTGGACAGACGCACTGGTGTGTTTGCTCCTCGTCCATCCACTGGTCCCCACAAGCTGAGAGAATGTCTCCCGCTGGTCATTTTCTTAAGAAATAGACTTAAGTATGCTCTGACTGGAGATGAAGTTAAAAAATTTGCATGCAGCGGTTCATTAAGAGTGATGGCAAGATCCGAACTGATATAACCTACCCTGCTGGTTTTATGGATGTCATCACCATTGACAAGACCGGACAGAATTTCCATCTGATCTGTGACACCAAGGGTCGCTTTGCTGTTTATCATATTACACCTGAGGAGGCGAATACAAGTTGTGCAAAGTAAGAAAGAGCTTTGTGGGCACAAAAGGAACCCCTCACCTGGTGACACACGATGCTCGCACCATCCGCTATCCCGATCCTCTCATCAAGGTGAATGACACTGTTCAGATTGATTTGGAGACTGGAAAGATGACTGATTCCATCGAGTTTGACACAGGCAACATGTGTATGGTGACCGGAGGTGCTAACCTGGGAAGAATTGGTGTGATCACTAATAGAGAGAGAAACACCCTGGCTCTTTTGATGTGGTTCATGTGAAAGATGCCAATGGCAATAGCTTTGCCACCCTGCTTTCCAACATTTTCGTTATTGGAAAAGGCAACAAACCCTGGATTTCTCTTCCCCGAGGGAAAGGTATTCACCTCACCATTGCTGAAAAGAGAGACGAGAGACTGGCTGCCAGACAGAGCAGTGGGTGAAATGAGCTCTCGGTGGAGTGAATGAAGAGATCGCTACAATAACAAATAAAGCCACCCCCCCTTAAAAAATTCTTTTAACATAATTTTTAAAAGTAGTTACTTCTGGTTGAACTATTGGATTGTATGGTACGTGAATTACATGCCAATAAAACTTAGAAAATTAAAAAAAATACTGCTCAGAAAAAAAAATGCTGGGAAATCAAAGCCATCTGAGGGTATTAGAAGGGTAACTATTATTATGTTACAACCCTGAGTATTTGTAAATATTCAAGATAATCTTTAGTTATTGAGAAAAAGTTAAAGTGTTTAACTTTTATTTCTGTGTGTTATGTTTTCATTCAAAATCATATCAGGAAAAATCAAATATTTATATGTTTTGTTTATGAAACATTTCTGTATTTAATTTTTCTCACATGCAGACTAAACATCTAGTTATTAAATGAGGACCTTATTTTATACTCATAATTCTATAGCCAAAGGAAAGTATTTTCCCCAGGCCAGATTTTTAAAATATTTAAAAATAATTTCTACTATTTGCTTTATTATTTATCTTTTGGGGCAAATAACGTAATAGTTTCAGTCTTATTTGGCTAGGTGGTGGTCAAGAAAGTACAGTTTGAAATACAAATGTCTTGGGTACCATAGCAAAGTGTGGTGAAGAAATCAAATGGTATATGGCTGTTATGGAAAAATAATATCTAGGGCCTTACAGGATTGACTCAAAACAAACAGCTATGTATAAGCGAGGAGTCTGCTAAATCCACACAGAAGAAGCACACCCACCTGTGTGATGCTAAGATTGCAAATAATAAGATCCAGACCTGGAGGAGGGAATTGTACCAGTGCCTAAATTTTAAATACCTTATTTGTTGTTTCGAATTGGATGATAGTGGTATGTATGATAGTGGTAGCCCAAAATCCATGGACAGGATCCCTATGTGGTTTGAGTTCCCTGTGAATCCCCAGTACACATAAGCTAGGAATGTTAATAACTCTAATAGCAAACAAAAAGCATTGTAAAGTAGATTTTAGCAGTTGTACTTATACTGGAATGTAACACCTTGTAATTTGATCTACTTCTGGACCTAATGTGAATTTACTCAAATTTTTTAATATTCTCTGCTTTCTCTTAGATTGAGGTCTTTACATGTTTTATATGATCTTTGTTGCTGGATTGATTTGTTGTTTACCCTTGTTTTGAATGTTTATCTGTATAGGGAAACGGGGATGGATGGGAAATTATGAAGACAGTCGCTGGATTGAGGAGTGCCTGGGGGCATGGCAGGGGAGGGTGGGGGAAGCGGGGAGTCAACATCAATGGGTACCAGAAGGAAGAGAAGGTTGTGAAGTTGATTGTTTCTTTCATTGATAGGTGAAGAAGGAAGTTTTAGCCATGGGTCTGTTGTGGATGGAAGATTTGAAGGGTTCATCAGGACTCTTGGTGGCACCTTTTATGTTGAGCCAGCAGAGAGATACATTAAAGACCGAACGTTGCCGTTTCACTCTGTCATTTATCACGAAGATGATATCAGTAAGTACTTTATCGACTGCCTTTAGCAGAAAGGTATATGAATAGGTAAAAGTATGTGGAAACATTTGAATCCTCAGTTATTTTCTTTTCTAAGCTATTACTTAGGCTAGCAATTAGTTCCACAACCAAAGGCTCATTGTAGTGAATGATAGTCTATCCATCTATGTACACCTTATTCATCTGTATCAGTCATACTTTATGAGATGATGCAACAAACTATTTGAACTATGAGTCAGCCAATTCTGATTGAGAATATAAACCTAAATTGCTGATAGTAGCCTGTATGATTAATGCTATTAATTAATTGTGTGGGCCACTGAAGTTAGAACAGCATTATTGTATGAAAACTGAAATGTGGATATGTGTAGTATTTAAAGCATATTTTAGGTATTTTTTACTTTGAGTATTTCTTTTATCTTAGTTTGGCAAGGTCCTAGGTTTATCACTGTAGATTTTGTTCTCTACCATGGTCTTTCTATGATGATAGTTTGTTGGTTGAGTTTCTTTTCTATTTTAGACTTCACCTTTAATTCTACGTTTGGCTATATTCCATACTCCTCAGTCACTAACGTGCTTTATTGTAATACCGTAGAAATACTCCTCCAACTTACATGTTTCTTGAGTACCTACCTGTACGTGACATTTTTTATTAACAATAGACTAGTCTTTTTATTTTTGCCTGTTCGCCTTACTTGACAGTTTTATCCTGGTTTCCTTTTTACAACCAGGAATTTACTGTCAGTAATTTCATTCTCACCTCTATTAATATACTGTCATTGCCATAACCATTTTGACTTTGGGGGCCATTAGTTCTGAAAAGATCTATACTGTAGCCTGTCCACCTCTGTTAGTGCTGATGGTTGGATTACGATAAAAATAATTATTCTGAGGGTTATGCATTATAATTTTAGCTAACAGCTAAATCACAAATTCATTATTGCCTCTTCCCAAACTTTACTCATTTCTATTTGACTCCCTTTTCTAATTTCCCCTCTACGTTTTTCCTCAAGCTCCACGCTACAGCCCTCCTTCACACCCAGGAATATGAACTCCTTTGACTTCCATTCTTCCAACAGAATTATCATATACCTGGTCTGTATGTTGCTTTGTAATTTTCTTAATAATTTAGGGTTTTTTGGGTAGATTTACTGCCCTGTCAGGCTATATAAGTTCTCCAAACGCAATGTCTGTTTTAGTATCTTTGACATTTTAGGTTACCATTCATCTTTGCAGCAGTTTCTTCTTTAATTACGTAAAGATATCTTGGAAGATTTTCTCTATGTTTTCTCTCTTAGGTTTATTAATGATTCAAAATCAAACGAGAGACTTCTTGGGAAAGGAAAGAGAAGGAAGAGAGTAAAAATGTCTCTTTTCCTTCCCGCTTTATTGTCTTCGTACTGTTCCCGCTGCGTTTCACTTCCACCTGGTTCCCTCGCCTGCGTGTGCCTGCTGCTTATGATTTCCTTGCTGTGTCTTCTCCGTCTCTTAGCCACTATGCACGTCCATGTCAGCATATTTTCCTCTTCACTTTAATTTCTTCAACATATAATTGTATTTTTTCATGTAGCTTCCTTTAGTAATTTCCAGATAGCTCTCTTTATGACCCTCTTCTCCCCTACACCCAAAAGATGATGGATTAGGTTGGAGAATCAATGCTATTGAATGCTTTTCAGTTTTATCTTCCTCCTAGTATTAACTGTACTACTAGTATTAACTTTACTACTTTTTGTGTGTCCTCATAAATACAAGCTCACAGTGAGCAGGGTTTTCAGTATACCAAGAGTGATATTAGAGCATAATAGTAATAATATTTAAGGTAACTTTTGTGTATATCTTTTTCCAGTAAGTGGAAGTGTAGTGATATGAAGATGAAAACTAAGGAATAAAATACCTTGAATACACTTTACATTTTTGTCCTCTTCACACTTTTCTGTACCTACAAATTTAGATGACTATTTGTGAGAAGCTATCTGAAAATCTTCCATATTAACTGTTCTAAGAACAGAAACCCCACCACGTGTTAACTTTTTAGTTTGAAAATAGTTGCCACATTCTAATTTTATGACAAGACTTGACAGACTTTTTCTGTAAAGGGTCAGATAATAAACACTTTAGACATTGCAGACCATATGGTATGTGATATCTCTTCCAGCCGCTCACCTGTGCTATTGTAGTGTGCAGGTAGCCGGGGGAAATACATTAGTGAACGAGTATGGATGCGTTCCAATAAAACTTTATATGTATATACTTACATTTAGATGTCATGTGCTTTTTCATGAAACAAGACGCTGCTCTTTTGAATTTTTTCCCCCTTGCCATTTAGAAAACTAAAAACTTGGGGGGAGGGAGGGAAAAAAGAGGAGTTGATACCAAGGGCTCAAGTAGAAAGAAAATGTTTTGAAAATGATGATGGCAACATATGTACAAAGGAGCTTGATACAATTGATGTATAGATTGTTATAAGAGCTGTAAAAGCCTCCAATAAAACAATTTATTAAAAAAGTAAAATTAAAAATTAAAAACATTTAAGAACCATCCTTAGCTTACAGTCAAAACAAAAATAGATGTGTTAGACTCATTTGTTTCGCAAGCTGTATCTAGAGGGTAGACTAGATCACTATATCTTTTATTGGTCCCTTAATCTCTAATTAAAATACTTGAGGTTCTAGTCATAGTAGCAGCAGCTGCAGCAATAGCCCCTGGTATTGTATAGTTTTGTTCTTGAATTATTTCATTCAATCCTCATATGACCCTATGAGCTATATTGATCATTGCCATCCGGTAAGCTCTGACTCAGGACAGCTTCAGTGTAACAGAATCAAACATTGCCTGGCCCTGGGCCGTCTTCATGACTGTTGACGTCTTTGAGTTCATTGTGGTGACTGTTGTGCCAATCTATCTCAATGAGGATTTCCGTGGTTTTCACTGATCCTCTACTTAGCCAACTCTAGTGTCTTTTTCTAGTGAATGATCTTTATGATGATGTATCCACAGTAAGAGGGCTGAAGCTCCGCCCGCCTAACTAGCTCCCCACCTTTAAAGTTAATGTAATTCTTATTTTTTAAATTGTGGCAACAATATACACAACAAAACATTCTCCGATTCAACAACTTCTGCATGTATAATTCAATGTCATTGATTATATTCTTCATTTTAGACAACTATTATTGATAATCTTTTCCAGATTATTCCATCACCCTTAACTCAGTGCTCCCTAATCAAAACTCCACCTCCTTCACCCATAGTAACCATTGGTCAAGTTTGGTTTCTTCTTTTTTTAGTAGGCTTTTGATACAGTATTCACACAGCATACACTTCAATAGTTAAATCTCTTTTAAAAAGAGTTGTATGTACATCTTCAGAATCAGTTCTAACGCTCCCTCCCCCAAAGCCTAAGTAACTTCTAAGGAGCATTCAGTTTGTACAAGGGGGTTTAAAAAGGTTCGTGGAGAAATGAAATTAAAATATAATGGAATATTTCCACGAACTTTTTGAAGCACATTCATATTTTTTGTAAGACTAATCGTTTCTTTTGGCTTGCCATGATCTATTAAATATTCTTGGCCAACACCACAGTTCAAATGCATCAGTTCTTTGTGACTCTCTTCCATTGTCTGGCTTTATCCATGGTATAGATGAACAAAGTAGGGCTCTTTTGACTACAGAGCTCCTGTTCTTTGCCATGTGTTCTGCTTTACTTGGGGAAGAGAACTGAAAATGCTCGGTTCTTTTACTCCAAGGGCTTCGGGGTGTTTCTGAGCTCTGTGAGCTTCCCTTTGTGTTGATGCTGGTCTATGATAAGGGTAAATTTCCCTTATCACTTAGCAATGGATGCTTTATTGTACAACTACTTAAAAGCATGTCCCTTTACCTGCTTATAGTTTATTTTACAACAAAGGTATTGGTGTTTTTTGTTTGTTTGTTTTTGTTTTAATTTAGATGAGTGTTACATATGTGTAAGTGAATTTGGTGTGTTATACTCACCTGAAGCAAATGGCAGAGGAAATGCGCCAACCTTAGGTAGGGGTTCTGATTAGGTTTTGGTTCCTCTTAATACACTGTTTTTGCAACTGTAAGCATAAATCTATGAATTGACCTGGAAAATGCTATTGCTAGCTACCCTAGAGAATCTTGGGTATGGCTTCTGAGATTACTAGAATACAGAGACAATTTTCAGTGAAAATCCTTAAAACTTGGATACCTGCTTATAACTACATATAGCTATCAGCTTAAAGTTCACACTTTTTTAATTCTGAGCTTAGGTAATAAAAGTAATACTTAGGTAATACTTTCTCCTAGGACACAGAAGTGTGAACAATTATGATAAGGTATGAATACCAATTAATCATCTGCCCCTTGGCCCTGTTTATTTTAAGGAAGCATCTCTTAAACTGAGTTAGCTTATTATTGGTGGTTTTTAGGAATGACTGTTTGCTTGGAATTGTTCATTGTAGTAGTGCACCTTTGCATTCTTTGTGTACTGCTTGCCCGAGAGGCAAACTACCTCACACCCACTGGCACCAAGTCAGTTCCTACACATAAACCTACTGCCATCCACCTGACTGTGACCCACCTTGTAAAACAGAGTAGAAACTGCCTCGATCCTTAGGCAATTACTAATCACATCGATTAGTTTTATTTTCTAGAATTTTATATTAATTCAGTGACATGTGTTCTTAAAAAAAATAACTTCTGAGATCTTTAACTCAGCATAATTATTTGAGGTTCATCTCTGTTAATTCCTTATTGGTGAGCAGTGATTTCTCCCATGGATATTCTAAAATCTGCTTACATATTTGACTGTGGACATTTGAGATGTTTCTGATTTTGGGCTATTCCAAACTATGCTAATATGCTACTTTTGATATTAATTCACAGATTATTAGCTGAGTAAAGAGAAATTAAATTGGGAAAAGAGGCAAAGTGATGAAATAAATTTTAAAGATGCTTAAGGTCATACATGGTCTGTTGCCTGAGCTGAAATGTAGGAAACACTTTAG